CTCCACCTTCTGCAGAGAATGGAATAAACCATGTTTGTGGCTAATTAAGGCATTTGCTGATGAATTCACTCTGTCATTAAGAGAAAAGCAAAGCTGCTTCAATAAATTGCAGTGCGTTTTCTTTGCTGCCCAATGGTGCTATATTATTCATGACCCATTTGAGTCGTAACCCATGTTTGCGCATGATGCATGTGTACTTGAAGTGTAGCAGCATTGTGACTGAACACCCCTGAGGCCTTTGGGCACTCTTGCCTCTTATCTGGACCCCAAAACAGAAGTTTAAGTCTGCCACTGCAAGGGATGCAAGGATTCATGAAGGATGTATGGATGCCTCCTGGTGGTGTGAGCCAACACACCAGATCCTGCAGATCACCTCTTAAACTAGACCATTAGAAACACATAGCATGATGGGACTTCTTATAGAACGCTTTGTGGACAAACTTTGTATACCCATTAACCAGAAAAACGTCTTTTTGGTGGACATCATGCAACACCATATTCTAATTTGCCTGATGTGTAAGGGAGGGAGGGGCACTTGGTTTGCACTTGTGCACTGTAATTATTTCTGGAAAATCACCAATTTATCTCACATCACCTTTGAAAGTATAGAGCAGGAATAAATCTTCACTCACGGTAGAAGATGTACTGCGCGTAATTGGACCAGACCTTGTCATCCGCGTAATGACCGATGGAGGACGCAGACAGGGACGAATTACAGGCCACAATGTGAAAGCCGCTTTCTGACAGCATGTCAAAAGCTCTCTCCAGGTGTCTGAACTTGAGGAAAAATCTGCAGCTGTAACGGTCCGGTGGCCTGTCCGTGTCCTTGTTCTCATTCAGGGCGTCTCCAAATACCTCTTTTGCCAAGCCAATCCTACTGCTGATGAAGATCCTCGGTAACTTTTTGGCCTTAACATCAATTTGAGTGTCTCTGCCTCCCCCAGCACAAGCGCCTTTAAAAGCGACCGTGATGTAGCCGTACCTCCTGTCCAAAGAGTAAGAGGAGCAAAACCTCTCGCTGCCCTGCGACGCATCATCGAAATCACTGAAGTCGTCTTGAAATAGTTTTGAATCATCCGAAGATACAAGTTTGGCTAAATCTGGCAGCTGAAAGTATTCCGCCTCTCTTTTTAACCTTCCCCTCTCAGGGAAGTGATCAGGGAGGACAACCAGCTTGTCTCTAAGGTAATCCAATACGTAACGAAAAAGAAAACCATCTCTGTCAATAAAATAACGTCCTCTGAGGTCCCGGGACAAGTCATTTGAGGAGCCCTTCTTGTTAGAAAACAGCTTCCCAAGTAAGGAATTTGGAAAGCTTGTCAAGGTGGCAAGGCGAGTGTAATACACCTGTCCACCCACGTTGAGCTCAACAACATCCGATGGAGGGTTTTGCACCAAACCTTGCTCTTTTGCAGGTTGCGTTTTGCAGTTTTCACTCAGTGCCATTTTCTCTTTTCCAGATCTTGCACGAAATCTGAGTCTCGATCACAGAGCGTAAAACGTCCCAGAAGTTCAGAGCGTGGGGTGTAGCTGCATGGGGCTGATGCCCTCAGACCAAAAGCATAGTCCTGATTGAAGCTGCAGTCCTTGCATCCAGAGTCTCGTGACATACAATCCAAAGGTGTGCCTACAGTATATCCTTTAACCCCATGCGTAAATGTGCCTGCCCTTCGGTGTATCCTTTCCGAACAGAATCGATTATCATAACCAGTGAGCGCACCACGTTACACACATCCTCTGCGATGGGTCATTACTGTGACTTCAAGGAAATACAATCCTCACTTCACTCTGAAATGTCCCACCTCAAAAAAAAGTAAAACCCCTTTTTTTTGCCTAAGTTTTCTGTGGAAATGTCTACCGTCTTGCGTCTGGCTCCTGGATCTATCACATCAATTGAAGAGTGTGCGTGCATCCAATCCCTACTGAGCGTCTCTCCTGACAACTGTGATCCTGAAACAGGCTCCGGGGAGGATGAAAGTGGGACTCTTGTGCGCGCCCATCTCTCCAAACTGCTGAGTGCGGAAACGCTTGGTCCGGCAGAAGCTTTAAGATAATGTTGCTGCAAGCAGTGCAAGAGAGAGAGGGAGAGTACAAAAATCGTCCCGTGAAGTAATGTCTTACATCATCTTAAAGGAAAATGACATTTCCAGACGATCGACATAAAACGGACAGATGTGGGTCTGTGCCGTTTTCCATGGGATTGTGATCCAGCAATAGGCGGCGTGCAGCTGGCGGAGAGGATTCAGGTCTAGCAGTTGAAACATCCAGCGTTGCGGATTTTAATCCCTTCTTCTGAGTCTTCACAGAGGCTTTCGCATTTACATTTAACGCTTTTAGCTGACGCGCTTATCCCAAGAGACGGGTGAGGGGTTAGGTCCCATGCAGTGTCTCAGAGACAGAGTGACAGCTTCACGTAGAGCAGGATGCTGCTCTTTAACTTGTTTATATCCAACAGTCGATAAAGTCTCAGTCATAAAAATAAATGACCTATAATATCCAAATTAAAGTTGCACCCTTTTGCATCAGTTTGAACCTGCATGCAGTATCACCTGTCACAGCCAGAACACTAGGACTGAATATGAACATTGATCCCTTCCTCAATGATTTGACTGAGTAAAATCCTATTTCAGGACCAGGGACAGATCTCAGCACACTCCAAGTCTTACAACTGATGCTCCATGTCATCTCCAATAAACTGATAGAAATAAAACAATGCATTGATTAGTATCTCTTTATTTTACACAAAAGTGTGTGATGCTATATTCAAACATGCCTCAATATGATGTCCATTTCTCCCCTGTAAAGTGCATTTTTCTTGCAGTTTTTTCCAGGAATGTCTGTGAGAGGGCAAAACTCAGCGATATGAACACTCATTAATGACTCATTTTTTCTGGATCAGGAGGACAGTGGTTTGGGACTTCAGTATTATTGCTCAGGGCCTGCTCAGTGATTTGTCACAGAGCCGTCAGTATACTCCACAGTGATGCCCTACTATAGGGCGGAAAATCCAGTTTGTAAGAAGTGAGATGCAAGGCAGAATTTAAGGCTTAACAATGCTGTCATAATTTTCTGTTATATATACAGTAAGGCAAGGCAAGGCAAGTTTATTTATATAACACCTTTCAACACAAGGTAATTCAAAGTGCTTTACAAAAATGAAAGACATTAAGAGCATTAAGAAACATATTAGTAGGTCACAAACTAGTGTTGTATAAAAGGTATGCAAAGGACAAATGTAGACGTTTAGCGGAAAATACTAAAAGGTGTCATTTTTTCGTGGGTTTTTTACATGAAGTAGAAAGTCCCTTATTACATCACTGACAGCATTTACACTGATCAGTGTTTCATTCTGTTTTGTATTTCATGTTTGCTTTTCAGGTTGTTTTGGGTTTTGAGTGCCTTTAAAGCCATGTTGTTATAAATCAGAGACTTTTACTGCTGCAGAGCTGAGAGAAGGCGATGATGATGGGAGCGCACCCTTGACTTGTGGTTTTGAGGAGGCAGCGGTCACGCTTTACCCTGTTAATTCAGACTATATTGTGCTGGAGAGGGGTTGCTAAGCAGCCACATGGGACTGAGTGGGATTCAAACAGTGGAGATTTAGAGCTACAGTGAGCATGCCACTGATCTCTTTTTATGTGATGTGAGGTTTCGCTGCTTACATTATACATAATATTGTAATGTTTGTGGATTATGTGACCCTATAGTAGTGTAGATGGAAAAAAAACAAAAAACTACTTCATATCATTAGATGGGGACAATAAAGAAAATTGAATCAGGGTTTATTTGCTTTATTTGTTTACTACATTCACATCTCTGGTATTGAAATTGTAGAATGAGACTTGGAGTTCATTGCTGTCCCCTGCTTTGGGATGAGTATCTCCCATTATGTGCTATAACACTTGCTTCTTATTCATCTCACTCATCCTCCTATTAGAGCAAATGTGCCTCCTGTCCTCACTTTATTTCCTGTTCGGGCGCCCCTCCCAGATTAGACTCACCCTTTTGGAAAGGGTTGTATTTCATGCAACTTCAGCATGAATAATGTAAGACAATATGGGTCCCATCTGAGCATGAAGTAAGGAATGTATGTGCTGTTACATGTCATTGACAATCGTAGATTTTGCAAGGTTCTAGCTTTTTAATCTGCAGTAAGGCGTTGGCCAAAACACCTCAAAGAAAGGTGTACAAACTCTGTTGAGTAAGAAATGGTTTTAAATGAATTTCTGAATCAATAAACGTTCACGTTTTATGATGAAATGTTCATTGTTAAATGTAGGTGGTTATTTAAACATTGTTCCCCTAGTGTGTGCTTTTGCAGACCAGCCAGTGAATGTGATGTCTTGGAACATCTTTCAATGCACTGTTGTGCAGCTTTGAAAGCAACAACTAATACCCAAACCTTTCAAAAGTTATATGATTAAATTTATATTTTATTGGTGTTTTTAAGTTTTTATTCACACTTAATGTGAACAATATCCCTCCTTTTAATTGTTTTAGCTGTAATTTGGCCCTTCATAGTGTTTATTTGTCAGACAGTCTACAGATTTGTAACTTTGATATATTTTACTTTTTTTAGTTCTGTTTTATTTTTCTATTTTAAGATGTTTCTATTTTATGTTTTGTTTATTTTTTTACCTTTTTTAGTTTTCAAATTATGTGCAATGGCTTTGTTTTAACATGCTGCTGTAATGAAAACATTTAAATAAAGTATATCTTATCTTTATTTGTCTTATGTTATACCTATATTTTAACTTACACTTTGTATGTGTTGAGTGACTGTCCTTTCTCCATTAATATATATTGAACTTGTTTAGGGTAGTCTGAGTTACAATGATTGTCATAGCCAGGGACTGCTTCACACTTGTTCATATGAGAATAAAGAACTTGGAAACTTAATAACAAGCAGCAGTGTCACCGCACGGCCGGCAGGTCGCGCTGCATGTTGTAAACAGGTCTGCCACGGGGCTGACTTGCTCAGTTCTCCATTTTGTATGTTTTTCTTGGAGGTTAGCGCCTACTTTCCTAATGGCTAGCTGCGACTCTCCACAGCTCAGCCAGTTTGAGGCAGTTTGCATGACAATTAACAGCTAGATCGAACTACAAGATTGATAACTCTTAAAACACAGTGAGCTTCATATGTTTGTGTCGTTTTACCGAGCCATGTAACTCTAGCAGTGAGGACTAACGTTAACAAACATTGGGTCAGTGTTGCGTCTTATGGACTGCCACTTTCAACCAAAACAATGTTGACAGACGACCTGTGGACACATTCCAACAACCAGTCATTTCAAGGGTAAATATGAGCTTTTGTTCAGATTTGAGTAGATATCGTTATATGTGTTAGTCTAAAAGAAATGCAGTAATGTAACGCACTTAACAGGAATATGCACTTATAAATGCTATGTTGGCTAACAGGCTAACGTAACTGTCAACGAAATGAGGCTGTTAGCCACATTGCTACCTAGCATGCCAACAGTTAGCATTGAGCTATCTTTAGCATAGCTTAGACTTTAGTCAACTTTAGAGTTGAGTCATTATCGGTAGGACCACTGTTATGTGTGTTTACTTTATGTACACCGTATTATGAGGTGGACACTACTGACTATGCACTCTTGTTAACATTTAGCCAATGGGAATAACAGCTAACGCAGTTAGCTACCTTTAGCTGCGTTAGCAATCAAGGGCGCGCAGGGGGGCATGCTGTCAACTTTCCCCTGTCTAATATTGACCTAACGTCTGGTACTTGCTCCCTGGATGTGCCCAACCTTCCAACATTATTAGTATTACCATCTGGCCGGAACAACAGCTGGAAATTAGCCATGTTGGCTAAAGCTGCCCCATTTACTGTTTTTTGTGACAGTTGATCAATGGGGACTGTCCACGACACTAAACAAATAAACTAAACTAAACCATTACAGTGTAGCACATCTAATTATCCCCCTTTACTGTGTGTCAATGCAATTGTTTTGTACTGTATTTAGCTATGTCTTAACGCTCTCTATTTACCCCAATCCCACACACATATATAGATGGATAAAGGTGGAGTGAAAAAGATAACATATAGAAGAGATGACCATTTAAGCAAGTTAGTCTACACTGAAAGCCCTGAGGAGGGAGGTCTATTAAAAGTGGCTCCTCACAGTGCCATGTCCATCACCTCAGTCGTTCTTCCATCCACCCCGTTGATGCAGCCAGGTCAGGTGCCTAACGGCCTCAGCAACAGCCACCTAACAGAGCTCTCCTCCGCCTCCGTCACTGCCACTGTTGGCCCCTTATTGGAAGACCCAGAGCCCAGAGGCCTGATCAAAATCCAAAAGCTTCACCAGCAGCACTTTCTCCAGACACAGACTTCCACTACGTTCGGGCGTCAAAACTTTAGGGAAAGTTTGCCCCAGTTGCAGGCCAGAACAGCAGATATTAACCAATCCTGCATGGATTCACTTATTGGAGGATCAGATCCCAATTTCTTCCACACGAAAACAGAAGATTTTTCAATGGATAAAGGTGATCAGGATCCCATCGACCTTGATCATGCCTTTGATCACATTGGAAAAGATGTTGATGTGACCCAGAAATTTTTCACAGACAACACTCTGGACCTGCTCCAAGACTTTGAGCTCTCTGGGTCCCCCTCAGATTTTTATGTAGGGGATGATGCCTTCCTGTCCACTCTTGCAGCCGATACTCTGCTTGGAGACGTTAGCTCAGAGAGAGACATAAAGCCTGCCTTGGTTGAGAGCATTAACAGCAGTGGGGCAGTCTCAGTTTCTCTCAATGGCAGCAATATGACAAGTCCAGGTCAGTCCAGCCCAAACATATCCACAACGTCCTCCTTAACCCCTACAGCCACTTTGTCTGCAAAGGTAAAGAAAGAAAAAGATGCTGGCTTCATTCAGCTCTGCACCCAAGGCGGGATCAAACAGGAAAAGACGTCTGCAGGCCAGAGTTATTGCCAAATCAGTGGCTCGGCCTCCACAGCCTCCATGTCCACATCTAACACCATCTCCATCTGTGGGGTGAGCACTTCAAGTGGACCAAGCTACCACTTTGGAACCACCTCCAGCAGCAATGGAGCTCAGCAGCAGAAGGATCCGAAGCCGGTGTCCAGTCTGTTTCTCCCAGTGACGACCATCGGCGGGGCCTGGAGCCGAATCCAGAATATCGGGGACAACTCCGCCATGCTCCGGGCCAGTGAGGCATTCTCCAGCTCCTCCTCTTACCCCATCAGCTTTTCCAGGTAAGAGATGTAGCCAGTATGTGGTCTGACCCGACCTTTCGTTTTTGTCTTACTAACTAGAGCTACTTCATTTATGTGGTGAGTCCAGTTAGGTCTTATTTAATCCACCCCTGCATTACTAGACATATCACATAATTTTTACTGAACTAGGGGCACTATTTATAAAGCTTTCTATTATAAATAGTTCATAGAATTATGACATTTTCTAAGAATTTCCCCTTACAGTAAATAGAGATTCTGGTTTAAATAAAATGTACTGATCAAGCCACTCCTAAGAGCTCCTAAGATGAAACACTGGTATGAGTATGGAGGAGGACTTTAAAGGGGCTTAAGAGTTTTTCAATGCAAAGGGGGAAATTGCTTGTTCACTGGTTTATCATAGATTTACTTGCAAAAAAGATATCTATAGAAGTCTTAAGTGTGTGTGTATGTATATAAATAAGTTTATATAAGCTACTTATATAGACTGGCCATCAATCACATGAATTGATGAAAACTAAATTTCCCCCTGTTTTTATCAAATACATGAAATACTAAAATTACCAGCAAGAGATATTAACCTAAGCAAATTCAAATAACAACTATCAGCATATTAAGATGCAACCGCACAAGTAGGCCTTTTTTTTACATTTCCTTTTGCCCCATACTACAGGTTTTATTGAACTGGACAGTCTTTCTTTATCCTCAGCATGAACACAACACTGACGTTTAAATGCAGGTTCTGATCCACTGGCCTTTAGAGGCATAACCTGAGAAATGTCATCCTGAAGAGGCTTTTAGCTTACTGATTCTCGCTGACTTCTCACTGGACTTCTTTTTAATTAAAAAAGCTCTCTGCGGATTATATGTTTATTCCACTTTATGGTTCACTTGTTTGTCACGATGCCTGTTAAGAAATGGTTATAGTGATATAAATAAGGTGTCTTCAACCCTGTTTACACCCTGTAATAATTTGTGTTTTGTGCAATCCGATCACAATTGGATAGCCCTAAATCCAAGTGTACACGACCAAGATTTTGACATTTGACCGCATATGTTTCGTAGTGTAAAGTTGTAAAAATCTTTATTACGCCCACATCTTCACAGCTTGACTTCTTCTGATCTTACCTTTTACAATAAAAGTCATAGACAGTGCATCACTACATGCCAGAGAATACTTAAATTCACTCAGAGCATTTTGCGTATAGGAGACTCAACAGAATAACTTACACTGACTTTATCCACAGCTTATACAAAATGTAAAGAATCCTGTTCATATTTTATAAATGCATCGAACATCTTTAGCAGATTTTATTATTCTATTTCTGTATATTCATTTTGGCAGACTAGGGAGGGAGGTGCACTGCAGTCTAAATCGTTAAAAACACCATTCCATTCGGTGTTTGTCAAAATAAAGAATTATTTTTTTAGGTGAGATCCAATCACAAGAGGTCATGTGAACCTACGCACTTAGAGCTGTCCACTGTGGATCACAAAAGATAGAGGTAATGCGCAGTGCACACAGGGATTTGGACAGCTCATGTCACCTGAATGTAGTAAACAAAAGGTCAGGCAGACATAGGGCTTCATACACACTGATCGAACACATTTGTAACGCATCTTGGCATTATTCTTTTTGATATGCCGTTGACAAACATTTTCATCGGTACTACAAAAATATTTTTTTGTTTTTCAGCCATACTTGTGTTGTTTGTGTTCAAGTGAGGCAGGCTCTCTTAACTGGAATCACCAATGAAGCGTTGGTGATACCAGACGACAGCTTTCACAAAGGTGGTTATCAGCTTGTGGCGCTAGTCCAGGATTATCCTGTTTATGAGTTTGCACAAATGAAGGAGTTAGAATTTGTGACAAACAGCCAAGACACACACACATCATCAGGCAACACGTATAATATTATAATATAAATATTTATCCCTGTATGGAAATCTGGACAATGCAGTCAAAGTCAGAGATATTATACTTTTGTTGGATACATTTTTTTTCCTTTTATAGTTTTATGCAAGTCAAAGCTCTTGAAGTCATCACTGTCAGTGATATTATACAGTCATTTCAGCACACATTTGATGTGTCCAAGTCTTATTTTGTAGTCACTGTGTAACACTTGGTGGAAACAAACATCTGCTTTATTTCCGACTTTCCTATCCCCTCACAGTTGATGGATGAGTGGGTGGACGTTTCATACGTTATGAAAAGCTTTAACAAAAGCTGTACCTCACCGGTTTTGTTTGGGGTGTTGGTTACCATAGAAACAAGGCTTGATGATTCTAAATCAGGCTATAGACCTGAGACAAAAACGCCATGATCACCCCCTTAGTTAGTTATTCAACCCACATATCTGCTGTGAGAGACAGGCGTGTGGACTCGACAGGAAGTGGCTGCAGCAATAAGCAGTGAGATCTGGAGAAAGGATGTGCTGTTTGAAAGCCAGGGGAATTCCACCTTCATCCAAGACAAACATCTCGTCTTTTTTTCTCTTAGTATCAGTGTGTTTATGGCATGTCCCATTTGCAATGTGGATCAAGAGTTTTCCATGTCTGGACTCGAAATACCACATGCATATGCATGGTAGTGCACTTAAGTTTGGGATGTACACAGAGATGGGGTCGTTACTAAAAAAAAGTAATCTATTACACTACTTCGTTACTCTCTACATAAAGTAACTCGTTACTTTACTCATTACTTTACTCGCAGGGCCGGCCCGCCCCTCCCTGCAGGCAGATCACGCAGACTGCTAAAGTTTAAAATGTTCTCTTTAGTTCAGTTTTCATTGTCGCATAAGACTGATCCAGATAGCTCTGACCATGGCTGTCCTCTGTCTCCTGCTATCTGTATTTTGCGCAGTATATCTCTGAACGATGCGATGGTGATTCCACTGTGCAAATGGGCAACATTACCTCTACTATGAAGGATGCTACAAGCCTGTCCATCTCTGCTTTGGTTACCGGTCCTCCAAATTCTAATTTATGCTGCTTCGGAGTCGGCGGTGGCGCACTCACAACATCCTCACTCTGGGTTCGGGGGTCCTTAGCTATTAGCTTCACCTTAGCATGTGTTCTTTGCAGGTGTTTGTTGAGGTTTGACGTGGTGTTTGCAGCAGTGGATAACAGCTTCTGGCCTGGACACAGTTTGCACCTCACCGTCACATTCCTGTCTATTCTTCGGACGAACTCAAAATAATGGGCATACCTCCACCCCTCGAAAGTTATCGCTGACTCAGCCATGTTTATGCAGCACTGCACGCGGAGATGTGGACGCGCAAGTCGGGCAGATTACGTACATATAAACCTGCGGCGGAAACCCCTCTTGTCTGTCAGTGTGATTATGACTGATTTTATAAAAGTAACGAAGTAACGCGTGTCGGGGCAATGTTAGTAACTGTAGTGTGATTACTGAATTATAAAAGTAACGCGTTACACTACTCCGTTACCGACAAAAGTAATATTATTACAGTAACGCGTTACACCCAACTCTGGATGTACATGTAACCTAGCTTTACATGCAACAGTGCATATAACTGTTCAGGGTGGCCAACTCTTACACACTTTTCACACACTCTCACGCCACACGTCCATTTTCTCACACAATGAAAACACATTTTTAACTGATAACATCTTGATGCGTACACGTCACACTGCCAGTGCACGGATAAGACGGATAGTGCAACAGAGCTCAGCAGCAGCAGGGTCTAAAAACCGGGCAGGCCGGTCGCTGCTGGGATTTTCATGCGTGTTCATTGGGCTGTTATGGTACAGGTACTTTGAATGGCCACAAAAGAAAAAGCAAGCTTAACATTACAGCAATAACTTGTAGAACCCCATACTGTGCAGGATGAATCAGCAAAAAAAAGCTTTGAAATATTCCTTTCCCTGAAATTGTCAACATCAGTTTGCTCAGTTGTTTTACTCTTCAGTTTTTGAGAAAAGTTAAAGTCAGTTCAGATAACATTTCCTCATATTTGTACTTTATAAGATAATATCGCAGCTGTCAATTTTGGATTTCTTGCGTTCAGTTTCAGCTGCAGTTTAAGTGCAGAGAAAGAAAGATAAATAGTGCATTAAAAAAGGTGGTACATGCATGTGATCTGCAACAATGCATGTACACAGAAGAAAAGTATTTAGAGCCTTGCTTTTAAGCCAAATATTGTTTTATTTTATTATCGTTTCACTCTAGTTCTCATTAATCCTACTCAAAAATAAACCTGAGATGGGCACTGTCTTTGCTTGAGGCAGATCAGACACTTTATTCAACAGTAGAGTTGAATTCACTGCGGCCTTAACAGAGTGGTCAGGCCTTTACAGTAAAAGGGGAGATTTATAGTAGGGAAAAGTGAAAAAAGGCTGCATATTACTCTGATTGTTAATGTGATTTTACTTAATCTGAATTTCTGCTGTGATTTCTTTCCAGCAAGTTCCTTTTCAGATGAATCCGCCCCACAAAGTGTCTTTTTGTTATTACTCTTCTTCCCTGTAGTGTTTTGTAGGTTTAGATGTAAATGTGGCTTTGGGATCCGGTTGTGAAGCAGCTGTTTCGAACATTTTTACCAACAGTGGTGTGGCAGAGGGACATTTATTTTTCTCCTCCACATTTCCACCCATCTGATTCTCAGTAACTGACAGGGATCAAACCAAAGATTGGCCCAAAAAAAGTGTGTGTGTGTTGAATAAGAGATTGTTGTTTGGCGGTGCGTGTTTGCCTCAACCTGTGTGACATTTACTGCTTGAAGTTAGCTGAGCTCTGGGCTCTCGTGTCTCTGTGGTTGTCAGGCTGTTTTCATCAGGTCACGGTATCCTCCAACCTCTCACGCAACGGAGCTGCTGCTTCCTGCGGCGGCTCGGAGGACTTCGCATGGCACTCTGTACCTGACCTGATGTAGCCCCACAGTTTGCCGCTCCACACTGTGCAGGTCTACTTTTATTAGTCCGACTAGCTGAGACTCGTAACCTTACCGGTTGTCTCCCACATCCTAAGTTCACCCGAGTTTACATTTTCATTTTATGCAT